CCGAACTGACCTCTACTTTGCATGACGGCGCTCATGAATCGCTTTTCTGTGATTGTACAGAAACTTGGAGTTTTGGAGGGAGCAACAGGCAAGGGTTCAGTCCACACGGAGAGGTTAAGATGATTTAAGTTCACTCATTTTTTGAATCTTTGGAACTTCATACCGCGTGACCATGCCCTTTGATTGAATAAAACACCATAGCGGACAGGGACTGTGCTGCCTGTATCGTGCTTCCATGTGCTTCTTTCACTTTGTTAGTGTTGTCCCTTCACCTGCATGTTCCGGGTTGTGAGATTCTATGTCAGCCACTCCTCTCCTCCTTCTTGTCCTCCTCGCCGCGCCTGACCTCAACCGCAAAACCCGGATCAGAGTGGTGCCCGCCGGACCTGGATCACAAGCGCCTGGGTAAGATAGAATGCCACACTGAAAGTGAGAAGACACAATAGCCACGTATGCCAGAAAGAATTCCAAAAGAGATGCCATAGCATGGCAGCCTTGAATTGTCAGAAGTTATGCCAGATAGACACATATGCCAGATAGCACGCCAAAAGATATGCCAGAAAGAACGCGCGGGTCCGACTATGTCAGTTTATGCCAGAATATATTTGAAAATATTTGTTGGATTGCCAGAATAAATACCGGAAAAGATTTGCTAGACACAGATGCCAGACAGAATGCAAGAAGATACAGACGATAAAATGCTGACCTGAAAACCCGCGGGCCCGCGCGGGCTCGCGCAAGTCTTGGGCTATCAGGGGACCTATGTCGTTCTTTTTTGAAATCCATGTCTTTCCACCAAAGTGACTTTATAACTTTCGGTTGTACCATATATATAATTGGAAAAAACAATGAAAAATAGTGAAACACATCGTCAAAATAACGAAAAACCAATGAAAAATAGTGGATCTACCCATGATCAATAAAAAATGTCACAATATGCAGAAAAAATGCAATATCGTCATCCGCCGATCCAAGAACACCTCGTTTACTCACATCTAATATGTATGTACATGTACATATATGTAATATATACAGCGCATATATATCTGTGTATGATGCCGTTTTTGGAGGTTACCATCCTGCTTAATCAACATTTCATTTTCGTGGGGAATACCGTGAGAAAATCCGCGACGGGCATTCTAACCCTATTTATTTAGTCCTGAAACCCCTAAAACTCCAAAATTCTTGACGAAATGTTCGACCGTCCCGTGTCTTCCTGTACTGCAAATATGCAGCATATGCATGTAAATTGCAAACACATATTTCCATGAACAATAAACACCGTAAACATTTGCAAAAAACATGCAACATCGTATTGTAAATTGTAAATTTAAATGTGTAGAATATACAGGTATTTGCCCAAAAAAACTTGCTCATGATCAGAAAAAAAACATGATCAATAAAAAATGACGGAATATTAGAAAAAATGCAACATCGTTTGTGTATAATGCCGTTTTTGGAGGTTACCATATACTGTTTAATCAACATTTCATTATCGTGGGGAATACCGTGGGAAAATCCGCGACGGGCATTCTAACCCTATTTATTTAGTCCTGAAACCCCTAAAACTCCAAAATTCTTGACGAAATGTTCGACAGTCCCGTGTCTTCCTGTACTGCAAATATGCAGCATATGCATGTAAATTGCAAACAAATCTTTCCATGAACAATAAACACCGTAAACATTTGCAGAAAACATGCAACATCGTATTGTAAATTGTAAATTTAAATGTGCAGAATATACAGGTATTTGCCCCAAAAAAACTTGCTCATGATCAGCAAAAAAACATGATCAATAAAAAATGACAGAATATTAGAAAAAATGCAACATCGTCTGTGTATAATGCCGTTTTTGGAGGTTACCATACTGTTTAATCAACATGTCATTGTCGTGGGGAATACCGTGGGAAAATCTCCGACGGGCATTCTGCATTCTAACCCTATTTATTTAGTCCTGAAACCCCTAAAACTCCAAAATTCTTGACGAAATTTTCGACCGTCCCGTGTCTTCCATGTACTGCAAATATGCAGAATATGCATGTAAATTGCAAAAGAATCTACCCATGACCAATAAAACATGTCATAGTATGCAGAAACAATGCAACAGCGTATTGTTTTTTAAAATATGCAAAATAAACAGGTATTTGCCCAAAAAAACTTGCTCATGATCAGCAAAAACAACATGATCAATCAAAAATGACAGAATATGCCGAAAAAAATGCAATATCGTCATCCGCCGATCCAAGAACACCTCGTTTACTCACATCTAATATCATCCAATATGTATGTACATGTCTACATATTATGTAATATATACAGCGCATACATATTCATATGTGTGTATAATGCCGTTTTCGGAGGTTACCATCCTGTTGAATCAGCATTTCAGGATGGTGGAGAATACCGTGGGAAAATCTCCGACGGGCATTCTAACCCTATTTATTTAGTCCTGAAACCCTCTAAAACTCCAAAATTCTTGACGAAATGTTCGACCGTCCCCTGAAACCCTCTAAAACTCCAAAATTCTTGACGAAATTTTCGACCGTCCATGTACTGCAAATATGCAGAATATGCATGTAAATTGCAAACACATCTTTCCATGAACATAAACACCGTAAACATTTGCAGAAAACATGCAACATCGTATTGTAAATTGTAAATTTAAATGTGCAGAATATACAGGTATTTGCCCAAAAAAACTTGCTCATGATCAGTAAAAAAAAGTACATGATCAATCAAAAATGACAGAATATTGAAAAATGCCATATCGTTTGTGTGTAATGCCGTTTTCGGAGGTTACCATCCTGTTTAATCAACATGTCATTGTCGTGGGGAATACCGTGGGAAAATCCGCGACGGGCATTCTAACCCTATTTATTTAGTCCTGAAACCCCTAAAACTCCAAAATTCTTGACGAAATGTTCGACCGTCCCGTGTCTTCCTGTACTGCAAATATGCAGCATATGCATGTAAATGGCAACCAAATCTTTCCATGAACAATAAACAATGTCATGATGTGCAGAAAAAATGCAACATCGTATTGTTAATTTAGATATGAAGAATGGCAGGTATTTGCCAAAAACATGCTCATGATCAGCAAAAAAGACATGATCAATAAAACATTACAGAATACCGGACAAATGCAATAACGACCGCGCATAATGCCGTTTTTGGAGTTTACCATTCCGTTTAATCAACATTTACATTGTCGTAGGGAATACCGTGGGAAAATCCCCGACGGGCATTCTAACCCTATTTATTTAGTCCTGAAACCCCTAAAACTCCAAATTTTTTGACGCATTTTCGACCGTCCCGTGTCTTCCATGTACTGCAAATATGCAGAATATGCATGTAAATTGCAAAAGAATCTACCCATGACCAATAAAACATATCATAATATGCAGAAAAAATGCAACATCGTATTGTAAATATAAATATGCAGAATTTGCAGGTATTTGCCCAAAAAACATGTTCATGATCAGCAAAAAACATATCAATAAAACATGGCATATGCAGAAAAAATGCAATATCGTCATCCGCCGATCCAAGAACACGTCGTTTACTCGCATCTAGATTCCATTTACCTATTTAAAATCTATATAGAATTCATAAGTTTTAGGGGCATATGCTGCGGAGGCATTCTAACCCTACAGAAAACAAGGTTTGGTGGCCCCGGCAAACCAAGCTTTTGGTCGGTTTTAGACTACGGTATATGGGTTTTGATGAGTTTTTACAGGTTTTCGACGGTTTTTCTACGGGTTGTGGCGAAGCTGCTTCATCAAAAAACCTGGTTTTGTTGGCTAAAACCTGTTTTTTTCGCAGAAACTAGCTGAAAACCAGGTGTTGATACCTCGACCCGCTTTTTTCAGGGATTTGGTTGATGTAGGATATATGATGATGATATCAAATTTTGGTAAGTATTTATTTCAACCGTCATTGGGGACCAAGATTTCATTTATCTATATAAAATCTAGATAGAATTCAGAAGTTTTGGGGGCACATGCTGCGGAGGCATTCTAACCCTACAAAAAGCAAGGTTTGGTGGCCTCGGCAAACCAAGCTTTTGGTCGGTTTTAGACTACGGTATTTTATGGGTTTTGATGAATTTTTACAGGTTTTCGATGGTCTTTCTACGGGTTGTGGCGAAGCTGCTTCATCAAAAACCTGGTTTTGTTGGCTAAAACCCGTTTTTTTCCGCAGAAACTAGCTCAAAACCAGGTGTTGATACCTCGACCCGCTTTTTTCAGGGATTTGGTTGATGTAGGATATATGATGATGATATCAAACTTTGGTAAGTATTTATCTCAACCGTCATTGGGGACCAAGATTTCATTTATCTATATAAAATCTAGATAGAATTCAGAAGTTTTGGGGGCATATGCTGCGGAGGCATTCTAACCCTACAAAAAACAAGGTTCGGTGGCCTCGGCAAACCAAGCTTTTGGTCGGTTTTAGACTACGGTATTTTATGGGTTTTGATGAATTTTTACAGGTTTTCGACGGTTTTTCTACGGTTTGTGGCGAAGCTGCTTCATCAAAAACCTGGTTTTGTTGGCTAAAACCTGTTTTTTTCGGCAGAAACTAGCTCAAAACCAGGTGTTGATACCTCGACCCGCTTTTTTCAGGGATTTGGTTGATGTAGGATATAAATGTATATATATATATATTACAGTATATAAGAATTAAGAAAATCTATATAGAATTCACATGTTTTGGAGGCATATGCTGCGGAGGCATTCTAACCCTACAAAAGGATAAAGGTTTGGTGGCCCCGGCACAACAGGTAGGCAAGTTTGATCAAACAATTTTTGAACATTTTTATCCACATTTACCAGCATAATACGGACTGAAAGGTAGAATTTTAGTAGAATTTTTAAGACAATTTTGGTGTGGCATTCTAACTTTCAATGGATTTTTTTTGGTGGCAGGTGTGTCATTCTAACTTTCAGTCCGGCGGTATAGGGCCACTGAAATCAATTTTGGTTTCATCAAGATGTTGAGGCTGCTTCCAGCGGCTACCATAGTGCCAACAGTGTGGCGGAGGCGTGGAAATTGGACCCAGTGAAAAGATCCAATAGCCGGTGCCAATGACCCTAAAAGTGGGCTGCCATTGGCACAGACCCAGAGGAAACTGCGAGCTTGAGGAATGACAAGTACATATGAGCACTTGTGTTGTGAAATGAACAGTTTTACCTGGACTATTTGGAGATACAAGCACAGATACTGTATATTTCAGATGCTCTCAAAGTGCACCCTTCATGCTAGCTGCTTTGTGGTAGGATGATGCAGCACGCGCAGCAGCCTCTATGGCGGTTTCGCAATGCTTGCAAAATGCGAAGGCCCGATTTACCCACTGCTGCGCGATGCAAGGAAGTTTGCGTGTTGACAAGAGCTCCCACGTGCTGCAAAAATGCAACAAGTGTTGGACGCAGGACAGCATCATACAAGGTTTACAAATGATTTGTAGTCGGTCAGAGACTGGCCAAGATTTTAGTTTCACCCAGACTGGCGTCTCAGTATACAGTATACAATAGATAATGATAAACATGTTAGCTTAGGTCTTGAGGTTCTTTTTGTAACCAGTTGGGACACGGACCCATTCCAAGATCTAGTAGGGCCACTGAAATCAATTTTGGTTTCATCAAGATGTTGAGGTTGCTTCCAGCGGCTACCATTGTGCCAACAGTGTGGCGGAGGCGTGGAAATTGGACCCAGTGAAAAGATCCAATAGCCGGTGCCAATGACCCTAAAAGTGGGCTGCCATTGGCACAGACCCAGAGGAAACTGCGAGCTTGAGGAATGACAAGTACATATGAGCACTTGTGTTGTGAAATGAACAGTTTTACCTGGACTATTTGGAGATACAAGCACAGATACTGTAATTTCAGATGCTCTCAAAGTGCACCCTTCATGCTAGCTGCTTTGTGGTAGGATGATGCAGCACGCGCAGCAGCCTCTATGGCCGTTTCGCAATGCTTGCAAAATGCGAAGGCCCGATTTACCCACTGCTGCGCGATGCAAGGAAGTTTGCGTGTTGACAAGAGCTCCCACGTGCTGCAAAAATGCAACAAGTGTTGGACGCAGGACAGCATCATACAAGGTTTACAAATGATTTCTAGTCGGTCAGAGACTGGCCAATATTTTAGTTTCACCCAGACTGGCGTCTCAGTATACAGTATACAATAGATAATGATAAACATGTTAGCTTAGGTCTTGAGGTTCTTTTTGCAACCAGTTGGGACACGGACCCATTCCAAGATTTTGGTTTCATCAAGATGTTGAGGTTGCTTCCAGCGGCTACCATTGTGCCAACAGTGTGGCGGAGGCGTGGAAATTGGACCCAGTGAAAAGATCCAGTAGCCGGTGCCAATGACCCTAAAAGTGGGCTGCCATTGGCACAGACCCAGAGGAAACTGCGAGCTTGAGGAATGACAAGTACATATGAGCACTTGTGTTGTGAAATGAACAGTTTTACCTGGACTATTTGGAGATACAAGCACAGATACTGTATATTTCAGATGCTCTCAAAGTGCACCCTTCATGCTAGCTGCTTTGTGGTAGGATGATGCAGCACGCGCAGCAGCCTCTATGGCCGTTTCGCAATGCTTGCAAAATGCGAAGGCTATTTCGTTTCAGCCTTTACTTGGTATGTTCCGCTGGATCTCGCAATTCAAGAACTGGCTCAGGAAGAAGTTAGTTCGTGTCATTCGTGTCTGGATGTCCTTTTGACCTCAAAGATTGCACTTGGTCAGGAAGTAGGAAAAAAATCAGCCGAACTATGGGATCAAAACTAGCTGATCATGGATATATGTCGAAATTATGGCCACAAAGCGACACAAAACAAAGTAAGAAAGTAAGAATAAGTAAGATGGTTTTGTTTTGAAATAGGTTTGACTTGACCCACAGCCAATTTGTGGGCCCGGCTTGTAAGTTTGACCTGCAGCCCAAAGAGTGATGTCCCAAGATTGCTGGCAACGGACATCTGGTAGGTCGCTGCCAATGATCACCACAACACTGTTCTGGAGGCGAAGTGGAACCGGTGTCTCACCTCTCAAGCCTTTTAATTGACAAACTCTTGACAGCTTCAGGAGTCATCAACAAGATACTTAAAGGTCTACATCCCATTTTTGTCCGGAAGTTTCTGCATGTTTTCCAACTCGGAAGCAGCCCTAAGAGCTCTTGCTGTAGTGTCACTGTATCACTCGCAAAGTGCAGAATCGTCATCCATACGTTTCCAAACCTGAGCCTTTGCGAAAGTACAAACCTTCAACACACTCCTTGCAGACAAGGCTATGTCCTATCTGGAATTATTTTTGACGACTCACAACTACACTTTTGGCTGGCTTCAGCTTTAGTTGAGTCGGTCGAGCAGAAACAAAATCCGACCGGAGGCGCGGTGTGTGGCTGCACAACATGTGGAGTCATGGACTGCCAGCATCTTGTTGCTGCAACAAGTGTTAGCAGGCGAGACGGGGATCAAACGTGGGACCAAGAGGCAAATAAAAAAAGAGAGGGGGCTTTTTTACGAAAGCCAGCCGATAGGCTAGGCAAAGTTGTTTTGGCGAACGAAGTGAGTATTAGGGGGTCTGGGGGGTGGTCGTCGCGTGTGGCACGAAAATCTCGAAATTAGTTGCAGTGGAGGGCGGGTAAATTGAACTTTTTTCGGGGGCATGTACCACTACGCAAAGAGATGACGGTAGGCTTCGATTCCCCCTAGGTCCGTTGACTCCGGCAGGAAAAAGGGAGGAAAAAACCAAGGAAAATGAAGGAAAATCGTTGAAAACAGAGGAAAATGGAGGAATGACAGGAAACAGGTAGGAAAAAAACGAAGGAAAATCGTTGAAAACAGGTGGAAAATGGAGGAAAATGGAGGAATGCCAGGACAAAGGTAGGAAAAAAACGACAGAAAATGAAGGAAAATCGTCCAAAGCAGGGGGAAAACGGAGGAAAATGAAGGAACTCCGAAGCTCAACGGAGTGCCGCGTTCGTTGGGGTTCGGAACAAGAGAGTTTGCAAGGGGATGAGACGTGATACTGAGAAAGGATTGCAACTGCAGATGGTTTGGGCTTCTGTGTAGAGGGTAGAGTGTAAAGAGTGTAAAGTGTGCAGTGACGAGTGCGGTGAAAGAAAATGAAGGAAAATCGTTAACAGCAGGGGGAAAGTGGGGAGTGTAAAGTGTAAAGTGTAAAGTATGGAGTGTAGAGTGAAGAGTGTCGAGTGTAAAGTGTAGTGTGTAAAGTGTAGAGTGTGAAGTGTAGAGTCTAAAGTGTAGTGTGTAAAGTGTAGAGTGTGGAGTGTGGAGTGTGGAGTGTAAAGTGTAAAGTGCAGAGTGTAAAGTGTAGAGTGTGGAGTGTGGGGTGAGGGGTGCACAGTGTAAAGTGTAAGGTGTGGAGTGTAGAGTGTAGAGTGTGGAGTGTAGAGTGTAAAGTGTAGAGTGTAAAGTGTACAGTGTGGAGTGAGAAGTGTACAGTGTAAAGTGTAAAGTGTGGAGTGTAGAGTGTAGAGTGTAAAGTGTAGAGTGTGAAGTGTAGAGTGTAAAATGTAAAGTGTGGAGTGAGAAGTGTACAGTGTAAAGTGTAAAGGAGAGTGAAGAGTGTAGAGTGTAAAGTGTAGCGTGTAAAGTGTAGAGTGTGGAGTGTGGAGTGTAAAGTGTAGAGTGTGGAGTGTGGAGTGTAAAGTATAGAGTGTGGAGTGTGGAGTGTAAAGTGTGGATTATGGAGTGTAAAGTGTAAAGTGGAAAGTGTGGAGTGTAGAGTGTAAAGTGTAGAGTGTAGAGTGTAAAGTGTAGAGTGTGGAGTGTAAAGTGTGGAGTGTGGAGTGTAAAGTGTGGAGTGTGGAGTGTAGAGTGTAAAGTGTAGAGTGTAAAGTGTAAAGTGTAGAGTGTAAAGTATGGAGTGGAGAGTGAAGAGTGTAGAGTGTAAAGTGTAGTGTGTAAAGTGTAAAGTGTGGAGTGAGGAGTGTAAAGTATAGAGTGTGGAGTGTGGAGTGTAAAGTGTGGATTATGGAGTGTAAAGTGTAAAGTGGAAAGTGTGGAGTGTAGAGTGTAAAGTGTAGAGTGTAAAGTGTAAAGTGTGGAGTGAGGAGTGCACAGTGTAAAGTGTAAAGTGTGGAGTGTAGAGTGTAGAGTGTAAAGTGTAGAGTGTGGAGTGTGGAGTGTAAAGTGTAGAGTGTGGAGTGTGGAGTGTAAAGTGTGGAGTATGGAGTGTAAAGTGTAAAGTGGAAAGTATGGAGTGTAGAGTGTAGAGTGTGGAGTGTAAAGTGTCAAGTGTAGAGTGTGGAGTGTAAAGTGTGGAGTGTAAAGTGTGCAGTGAGATATTGCGGAGTGCAAAGTGTAACGTGTAAAGTATGGAGTGTAGAGTGAAGAGTGTAAAGTGTGGAGTGTGGAGTGTAAAGTGTGGAGTGTGGAGTGTAGAGTGTAAAGTGTGGAGTGTGGAGTGTAAAGTGTAAAGTGCAAAGTGTGGAGTGTAGAGTGTAAAGTGCGAAATGTAGAGTGTAGAGTGTGGAGTGTAAAGTGTGGAGTGTAAAGTGTGCAGTGAGGAGTGAGGAGTGTAAAGTGTAAAGTGTAGAGTGTAAAGTGTGGAGTGTAAAGTGTGCAGTGTGGAGTGTAGAGTGTAAAGTGTAGACTGTAAAGTGCAGAGTGTAAAGTCTTGACTGTGGAGTGTGGGGCGTGGAGTGTAAAGTGTAGAGTGTAAAGTGTAGAGTGTGAAGTGTAGAGTGCTGTGTGTATGTCTGTCTGTGTCTGTGTCTGTATGGGAGGGAGGTGACAGTCGGCTACGCGAGGTTACGGGGAAGCATGGGAGCAACTTTCTGCCCTTCAGCGGCCCTTCGGTCGGCTATTGAATTTCTCTTCTGGGATCATTGGGAAACGGCCGTTTTGGGCCAAATCCTAGCCGGGAGGTCACGGGAGGTCACGGGAGGTCACGGGAGGTCACGGAAGCAAATTTCTGCCATTTGGCGGCCCCTCGACTGCCGATTGAATTTCTCTTCTGGGATCATTACAAAACAGCCGTTTTGGGCCAAATCCTGGCCGGGAGGTCACGGGAGGTCACGGGAGGTTACGGGAGGTTACCGGCGGTTACGGAAGGAGAAACGGAGGAAAGTGGAGGAACGGCAGCAAAAAGGTAGGAGAAGACCAAAGAAAATGACGGAAATGTCAAGTGTAAAGTGTAGAGTGTGGAGTGTGGAGTGGAAAGTGTAGTGTAGAGTGTATAGAGTGTAAAGTGTAAAGTGTAGAGTGTGGAGTGTAAAGTGTGGAGTGTGGAGTGTAAAGTGTGCAGTGAGGAGTGGGGAGTGTAAAGTGTAAAGTATGGAGTGTAGAGTGAAGAGTGTAAAGTGTAAAGTGTAGTGTGTAAAGTGTAGGGTGTGGAGTGTGGAGTGTGGAGTGTGAAGTGCAGAGTGTGAAGTCTAAAGTGTAAAGTAGAAAGTGTGGAGTGTAGAGTGAAGAGTGTAAAGTGTAGAGTGTAAAGTGTAGAGTGTGAAGTGTGGAGTGAGGGGTGCACAGTGTAAAATGAAAGGTGTGGAGTGTAGACTGTAGAGCGTGGAGTGTAGAATGTAAAGTGTAAAGTGTAGAGTGTGGAGTGTAAAGTGTGGTGTGAGAAGTGTACAGTGTAAAGTGTAAAGTGTGGAGTGTAGAGTGTAGAGTGTAAAGTGTAGAGTGTAAAGTGTAGAGTGTAAAGTGTAAAGTGTGGAGTGAGAAGTGTACAGTGTTAATTTTCAAAGTATGGAGTGGAGAGTGAAGAGTGTAGAGTGTAAAGTGTGTTTGTAAAGTGTAGAGTGTGGAGTGTGGAGTGTAAAGTGCAGAGTGTGGAGTGTAAAGTGTGGAGTATGGAGTGTAAAGTGTAAAGTGGAAAGTGTGGAGTGTAGGGTGAAGAGTGTAAAGTGCAGAGTGTAAAGTGTAGAGTGTAAAGTGTAGAGTGTGGAGTGTAAAGTGTGGAGTGTGGAGCGTCAAGTGTGCAGTGAGGAGTGTAAAGTTTAAAGTGTAAAGTGTAAAGTATGGAGTGGAGAGTGAAGAGTGTAGAGTGTCAAGTGTAGTGTGTAAAGTGTAAAGTGTGGAGTGAGGAGTATAAAGTGTAGAGTGTGGAGTATAAAGTGTGGAGTATGGAGTGTAAAGTGGAAAGTGTGGAGTGTAGAGTGTAAAGTGTGGAGTGTAAAGTGTAGAGTGTGGAGTGTAAAGTGTGGAGTGTGGAGTGTAAAGTGTAAAGTGTGCAGTGAGAAATTGAGGAGTGCAAAGTGTAACGTGTAAAGTATGGAGTGTAGAGTGAAGAGTGTAGAGTGTAAAGTGTAGTGTGTAAAGTGTAGAGTGTGGGGTGTAAAGTGTGGAGTGCGGAGTGTAAAGTGTAAAGTGCAAAGTGTGGAGTCTAGAGTGTGAAGTGTAGAGTGTAGATGAGTGTAGAGTGTGAAGTCTAAAGTGTAAAGTAGAAAGTGTGGAGTGTAGAGTGAAGAGTGTAAAGTGTAGAGTGTAAAGTGTAGAGTGTGGAGTGTAAAGTGTGGAGTGTGGAGTGTAAAGTGTGGAGTGTGGGGTGTAGAGTGTAAAGTGTAGAGTGTAGAGTGTAAAGTGTAGTGCGTAGAGTGTCGAGTGTGGAGTGTGGAGTGTGGAGTGTAAAGTGTAAAGTGTAAAGTGTAGAGTGTAAAGTGTAGAGTGTGAAGTGTAAAGTGTGGAGTGTGGAGTGTAGAGTGTAAAGTGTAGACTGTAAAGTGTAGAGTGTAAAGTCTAGACTGTGGAGTGTGGAGCGTGGAGTGTAAAGTGTAGAGTGTAAAGTGTAGAGTGTGAAGTGAGGGTGCTGTGTGTATGTCTGTCTGTGTCTGTGTCTGTCTCTGTATGGGAGGGAGGTGACAGTTGGCTACGCGAGGTTACGGGGAAGCATGGGAGCAACTTTCTGCCATTTAGCGGCCCTTCGGTCGGCTATTGAATTTCTCTTCTGGGATCATTGGGAAACGGCCGTTTTGGGCCAAATCCTAGCCGGGAGGTCACGGGAGGTCACGGGAGGTCACGGGAGCAAATTTCTGCCATTTGGCGGCCCCCCAGCCGCCTATTGAATTTCTCTTCTGTGATCATTGGGACATGGCCGTTTTGGGCCAAATCCTGGCCGGGAGGTCACGGGAGGTCATGGGAGTTGCGGTAGGTTACGGGAGGTTACGGAGGAGGAAAACGGAGGAAAGTGGAGGAACGGCAGGAAAAAGGTTTTAAAAAAATCGAAAGAATATGAAGGAAAATCGTTAAAAGCAGCGGGAAAACGGAGGAAATTGGAGGAACTCCGAAGCTCAACGGAGAGCAGCGTCCGTTTGGGTTCGGAACAAGATAGTTTGCAAGGGGATGAGAAGTCATACTGAGGAAGGGGGGGCGAAGGGTTGCAAAGCAAGGAGAAGTCTTCCAAAGGTGCTGCAGATGGTTTGGGCTTCTGTTCATACGGGATTGTAAGAGGACGTTTGGGGTGATAACTTCGATCATGGCCGCTACCACGACATTTCTCTGCGGAAACAAAAAGATTCGGGCTTAGGGCTGGCTTTCGTCCCCCTTCTCAGGTATGTTCAAATAGCTTCGGATAGATCATGAAACCGACGAGGACATCAACTGAAAGCGCAAACGGGGAGGCATACTTTCTCATTAATTGCTCATCAAAAATAGCTGAAAGTGAGCAGCGAATTTTCTGGCTTGCCATCCTTGCCAGTTGTGGGTTTCAAAGGGGCAAGGAGCGCTAGAGCGGGTGTACGCTATTTCCAAGGTATACGGTATACAGCTATCCAAAACGGTGCTTTTACATCTTTTACTGCCAATCCTTGGCTAAACCTTTGGCTTGTTGTCTTGAAGATTCTTGAAGATACGTGCTGGTGGCTGCCCAGCTTCCACATGCTGAGCAGCCACTAGACACTTTGGATTCCTTGCTTGCCCAGTTTTCTGGGTGTAGAGTATAGTCCAAATGGGATGAGAGCCATGAAAGCACCCAATGGAGACATGTAATATTATTTGTATATCATGTTCCAATTCAAACAATGACAGCTTCAGCATTCTGCTTGATTTTTGTGGGTGCGTACCTTTTGTTTGGGTCTTAATGGTTGCTTTAGTGTCACGCTTTAAATGGGTGTTTCTAAGGGTTTCTCCTTTGTCCTGAGGTTTTTCCATGTTTTTCCCCATGCTAATGTGCATGTTCTGTTTATGCTTGATGTTTTTGGCGTGTCACCATTGGCCGTATCTGTAGGTGATCGTAAGTCAAAGATTCCTAGCGGACTCCTGTGGCCAGGGCTGAATAACGGCGACCACGAGAGGTTAGGGTGTGGGTCTCAGATTTATTGAGCCCAATCACCAATTGATGGTCAATGATAGTAAAGAGGATGAGACAACTCTGTTCTTTTTCGGGTTCCTCAGATTTAACAAACACCCAGTGAAGGAGCCATATTTTTCTTTTACGAAAGGCAGTACATGGGAGATCTATGCAATTGTTCGTGTGGACTTATTCTACAACTTGTCAGCTGATAAATGTTTTGCCATTTGTGGCTGCATTTTGACCTGGTGACCTGGTGTTTTGCCTTCTGCACTCGCTATACGCAAATACATAGTCAGAATTCATGGGAACTTCGCGTGTCGAACATCCCAGTGATTCACCGAGGGATTCTGATTTTTTTGCCACGGATGCAGGGGATCGACTGGCCCCCTGCTGGAGGAGGCCCAAGAGGTGTCGCGATGCAGCCAAGTTTGCGGAAATCGATGGTACAGCTTCTCAATAGATCTCAATAGCAGAGGATGCATATAGCATCATATAGCACTGTGGGGTATGTTTTTGCAGGGAGCAACACCAGGAAGGCCAGTTGTAAGTGAATCTGTGCCATTTGATCATGCCATGCTTTGAAGAATAGGATGCAGAGAAGCAACCCCTCGACCCACTGATTCACTTATACAGCGTTGCGATCCTGGCACAGGTGGCTAGCTGCAGAGATGAATCAGCGCAAGGCAGCTCCGAACCCTATGCCCGTTTTGTTTTTCCAAAGGTTAGTTAGCAGGAACTTACTGCACAGTGCTTTTTCAGATAACTTCCTCCCCAGTTGCGCACTTTATTTGTAATCGATTGTGATACTTCTCCTTGTGACTAGGATGCAACTTTAAACCCCTTAGCCAACTGCGTGCACGAAAACATTTCGAACATGAGAAATGGCAAACTTTGCCTAGGAAACACTCGGAAGTTGAAGACAGTCTGGTGCAAAAGTAGTGGCACCGATCAGGAACCACAGTCAATCACAGCAAAATAATTCGTTGGAAGAACCAACATCAATATTCTCAGCTTACAAATGTTTACAATGCTTAGTGCATCTTTGCAGAATTGCAGCTAGGTGTGAACAGTATCCTTTCAGATCCAACCTTTGGTAACTATTCTGAGCTTCTGTTTTTCTTGACATGCCAATAGTTTCCTTTCCTTATTCATCTTTTTTTTGGACGTTTGGGATACATCGGATACATTGGATGCATTTTCTGACCGAAGGACCACTTGACATCCTGGAGTTTGACCTGCAGGGCATCCCTGACCCGCCAGTGACACATGAAATCTGTGAGCCGCGAGCCAAGTTCTTCCGATGAATATATATATATATTATATATATAGAGAAAGAAAGAGAGAGAGAGAGAGAGAGAGTGGATGGAGGGCAGACTCTTTTGAGATTTTTAGATGATTTGAGAGGGTGAGTTTCCGAAGTACTTTGAATGCTATTGAACGCTTAGTTCAAACTTAGTTCAAACTTAGTCCATATTGGGGATCCACCCAGGGCGTGAAGTAGTGGCCTCCTGGGCCGCCGGGATTGATTGTCAGGTCAAAGGATGATGAGGAGCCGGGCCGGCATAGGGACAGCGACAGCTGACCTTCACCAGTGTGGTATCAGGTGCTGAGTGACCAACCGTGACTGCTGTTGAAAGCTTGCTACGCACTGTTGCCTCCGAAACCTCTATAGGCAAATTATGTTTTCTGGTCCTTTCTTCCTGTCTGAACCTTTATGCCTTGGGGATTCTGCATCACGCTTGAAGGAGTATATAGGCCTTCTAGACTGAAACGGTTCCCTGCTATAAGAGGAACAGAGACGAATTTCCCACTCCCTGCCGGGTGAGCATTGGCATCATTGCACGTCAGGAGAGGCCTAGCACGGCAGATATGAAACAGGATGTAGCGGAACTCAGCTGATATGGATCAACCCATTAGGAAATTCCGAATTGGGCTGTTCAAAATCCAAAAGGCAAACCAATCTGCGGCTAAAGTGCATGAAATGGTCTTTTGCATCCAGTTTCTGCTCGGAGTCCACCAGCTTGGCACTTGTTTGATTTGGCGACAGCAACCTGTCATTCAATAATTCAAACTGCTGCGTTCAAAGCAAAAAAACATACTATTCACCTGTGTGTATGCAACACACTAATTAAGTAGATTTGTATGTATATTTTTTGTGTAAATATATATATGTGTATGTATATATATATATGTATACATATAATATACACATACGTATTCAAAATATTGTATGCAATCAGAATCTAAAACCGCGATGTCCCAGAAGCTGGAACTTCTTGCAGTGCTAAGGACTTGGTCAGCACTTGCGACGGGAGTCGCAGAGATCCAGAGAGCAGATGTGATTTTTGGGAAGGTCAGCATCCTGGTCTCTCTGGATGTTCTGGGATAGTCTCATGATTGGCCCTTCTGCGTCCACACGAATTGTGTTTGATGGTGGCAGTTGCATCGACCGCAGGCTCAGAGCTGGGACGCCCCAGTTCCTCTGACCGGCCCCAGTCGGAACGTCGCGAGCGCCCGCATGAGCTCATCAGCCGGCCAGGTGCCGAGGGAGACCGAAGGACAGCAGATACTGCCATAGGTGGAACAAACACGACATGGTCGAATAGTCTGGATTGGTATGGTTTCAGCCAACCTACGGCTAGCAGCTATTAAGTAAAATCTATTTGCTGTGGAACATGGAATGACTGTGAAACATACATAAATATACACTAGTCGCAAGAGTCGCAATTTTCAGTGCTTATCTTTTTTAGGTATCTCGGCTATCTCTGTTTCCTTCTTACAATATGTATGCTGCAAGGTCGCCTCGTCTGGTGGAAATGATTGTCACTGGTTTTGCCACCAATACATCCTATTTTGAGGCAGCACCAGCATCCAACATGCTTCTGTCCTGCATTCAGATGACATTCAGATTCTATTGAGCTAGGAAGCCACATCGCAAATTCCGGGATATGCGTCACTCCCCAGCCCAACAAATATTCAATATCATATACCAGTAGTACTGCACAAGGCGGTGGCGGAAGTTTCAAAAATAGGAAACCTATAGGAGAGCTTGGTTGTTGTGAATCAGGGATGGCAGAGCGAATCCACTGATGGACCGACAGGTGGTTGGAGTTGTGTTTTTTGGAGTGGTTGCAATGGTTGCAGTGGTCACCTTACCACAACTGCTGGATGTAGTGTGGTGTAGCGCAGTTGTAGTTGCTGTTGTAGCTGTAGTTGTAGTGTGCTGTAGTGTAAAAGTGTAATGTAGTGGAGCTGTACTTGTAATGTAATGTAGTTAGCGCATTCGCAAGTGCAGTTGCAGCTGTATTCGTGGTGTGGTGTAATTAGCGTAAGTAGTTGCAGTTTCAGCTGCAGTTGTCGTTGTAGCTGTAGTGTAATGCAATGTAATCAGTGCAGTGTAGTGTTGTGTAATGTAGTGTATTTGTAGTTGTATTTGTAGTTGTAGTGTGCTGCAGTGTAATTAGTGTAGTGTAGTGTAGTGTAGTTGTAATTGTAGTTGGTAGTTGTAGCTGTGGTGGTAGTAGTAGTAGTTGTAGTAGTTGTCGTAGTAGAAGAAGAAGAAGTTGTAGTTGTAGTTGTTGTTGTATATAGTTGTAGTTGTATTTGCAGTAGTAGTAGTAGTAGTAGTAGTAGTAGGAGTAGTAGTAGTAGTAGTAGTAATAGTAGTAGTAGTAGTAGTAGTGGTAGTAGTGGTAGTGGTAGTAGTGGTAGTAGTGGTAGTAGTGGTAGTAGTGGTAGTAGTGGTAGTAGTGGTAGTAGTGGTAGTGGTTGTTGTTGTTGTTCTTGTTGTTGTTGTTGTTGTCGTTGTTGTTGTTGTTGTTGTTTGTGTAATTGGTGTGGTGTAGTGTAATCAGATGGAATTAGCGTAGTGTAGTGTAATTAGTGTAGTGTAATGTAGCGTAGTATATTTCTATTTGTAGTTGTAGCAGTAGTGTAGTGTAGTGCATTGGTAGTTGTAGTTGTACTTGTTTGTCTATCTATCTATCTTTCTATCTATCTATTTCTCTATCTATCTATCTATTTATCTATCTATCTATAATCTATCTGTCTATCTATCTGTCTATCTATCTACCTCTCTATCTCTCTCCCTCTATCTCTGTATCTATCCATCCATCCAGCGATCGATCGATCGATCTATCAGTCTATCTAACTATCGATCGATCGATCTATCTATCTATCTACCTATCTATCTATCTATCTATCTGCCTATCTATCTATCTAGCTAGCTAGCTATCTATCTATCTATCTGCCTATCTATCTGCCTATCTATCTGCCTATCTATCTGCAAGCTTGAAAATGCAGCTATTCTGCGAGACTTCGTCAATTTTTTGAACTTGACAACATCAAAAACAAAGCAATTCTGCGAGACTTCCTCAATTTTTGAACTTGACAACGTCAAAAACGAAACAGTTCTGTGAGACTTCCTCATTTTTCGAAGTTGACAACATCAAAAACGAAAGAATTCTGCGAGACTTCCTTCAAAAATGGAAAGTTGCGTGCAGAGCTGACGGCCTCGTGCCAATGCGTTTTGCGATTTTTCCAGTCCACCTTGCTAAAGTACTGCGCCTGACACGAAAAAAGTGATGCCAGGTCATACCAAGTCCTGCACCTGTCACGCAAAATCATCTCAGCAAACCTGAAGATCTGATGCTCCAAAATGTAACCCCTCTCAGGAAATCAGCGCCCGGACCTCCTAACAGCTCTGATGAACATGTCTCTTGTACTGCGCCTGCCACGGAAAATGCATCTTTGCAGATCCTCTTCAAATGTCCCATGCCTGCCATCGTTTTTGGAAATGCTACAAAACCTTCACGTTTTGCTCACTTTTGACAAGGTGCACAATCCCTTGCGCCTGCCACGTGAAACGACATCTGAACCTCCAAAAGTGGTCCGAACCCCTGGTGTTTTTAACATGTTGACTTCGAAATGTGCCTCGCGCCACAACAGCGTGCACTTTTTAGACATCTCAACTTCCAAAAGTGGTCCGAAGGTGAGGTGTTTTTAACTTTTTCGCTTGCACATGTGCTTCGCGCCGCAACGGCGTGCACTTTTTCGACATCTCAACTTCCAAAAGTGGTCCGGAGCTGGTGTCTTTTGTACATTTTGACTTCGAAATGTGCTTGCACTTTTTCGACATCGCAACTTCCAAAAGTGGTCCGGAGCTGGTGTGTTTTGTAGATTTTGACTTCGAAATGTGCTTCACGCCACAACGGCGTGCAATTTTTCATCTCTCATTTGGCCAGCCGGCTCCGCACCCGCTGCTTTAGGGAGCCTACTTTTTGACCCTCCGGAGCCACAAATCACTGGAAAAACAGTGTTTCGCGACTTTCCTACTTTTTCGCGCACCTGCATCTTCTTTCTTCTGACTCTTTCTCTTCTCTGATCTTCTCTCTTCTAGTCTTCTCTCCTCTCTGACTCTTCCCATCTCTGCTTTTCATCTGTCCATATTGTCGGAAGTTTGACTTCTAAACTTCCTTCGATCATCAAAGGAAGTTTAGTTAGAAAACTTCCGAGTTACGGACGATTGTCATGGTCGCATTTCCATCACCGTGTCAGCCACATCATCATGTCAGCCACCCATCATCAAGTAGTTGGGAAGTGTAACAGTTCGGAATCGTGTGAATTCACGGGTGAAAGCATTCTCGGCGCGAAGCCCAATGTTTTTTCGGGTAAAGTGGCTTCCGTGGTCGCCGAAGGAGGGTCTCTGTTTCCGCGATTTCGGGGCTTGATCTGTGAAAGTCGTCGACAAAAAGCGCACAGGACTGTAGCGAGAGCTCGACTTGCATTTCAAAATCGCAAAATGACCGATGAGGTCGGCAAAATGCGCATGACATTGTAGCGAGAGCTCGATTATAAAAATCGTTCGCTGCAAACCCTGCATTTGACCGTGCCGGAAGTCAACTGATCGCGACAGCATCACGCATGAAGATATATGGAAGCTAAAAACATCATTGGTTCACTGGTTCATTGGTTCATTGGTTCACCGACTCACTAAATCATGCATGCGTTGATTCATCCAGCCAGTGTTTCATTGAATCAACGGTTCATTAGTTTAGTGATTCAATCACTCATGGATTCCCTGATTGTTTGATTCATTGATTCACTGATTCATTGAGTCATTGACTTATCGATTCATTGGTTCACTGGTTGATTGGTTCACTGGTTGCTTGGGTCATTGAGTCACTGCTTCGTTGCTCCATTGATTCATGAACTGGCTGATTCATTGATTGACTGATTCATTGATTCATTGATTCATTGTTCATTGTTTTTTTCACTCAGTTGTGCACGGATTCTTTCATGTCATGTCATTGGCATCTCAGCAACCATTTGCAAATTCGTTGATGCACCTCACAACTTCCACACTTCATGGCTTCTTCATCGCAAAAAAATCCTTTAGGTCATTGATTTCTTTTAGCCATGTCCTATTTTCGAAACTTCCGCCCGGCGCGGGCCGTGCACGATCTGGTATTTGTATATATCTATATATTTTTTTGAGTTTGGATATTGAAAACAGGGGTTAACATAAATAAATTCTTTTATGATTTCATTATGATCTCATTACGCTTTCATAAGTTTTTTTAAATGATTTTTTAAGAGCCCGAATTTGCTTATGTTGTTTTTAAAATGTTCTTTTTGTTTTTTTTCGTTTTTATTTTTACATTTGTTTTTTTTGGTATTTTGGGTGGTGTTTTTTTTTGGCATTTGTTTTTTAAAGAAATGTAAAATTCACATGTTTTTTTAATTTATGAAAAATTAACAAAAGCATTCGACGAAATCATAAAAAACATAAAGGAACCATCAATTTCACATAAAAAATATTAAAGAAATAGGATTTTTCTAAGAGTTGTTTGTTCATAAACAAATCATAAAATTTTAATATTGTTTTATGTCAACTTTGTGTTTTTTGATTTTAAAATGTTTTTAACATTGTTTTTTTTAATGTTTTTTTGGGCCTCTTTTTTGGCATTTGCAGCAACATACAAAAAGAAATGCCAAAAAAAAGGGCAACATAAAAAATACAAAGATCGTAAAACACAATAAAAGCAAATCATAAAAAACTGTCAAAAAAACATTAAAAAAACACGAAAACATCATATTGAAAATGTAGTGAAATCATAAAGCACAGATGGAACCATAAAAGATCTTAAAACAGTGAAATCATGAAAACACAAAAACCGTAAAAAAAATATTCCTTGAATTTGGCTTTTAGCCCAAGTTTTTTCTCACAAATACAATATATCATGAAATATACAGTATATATATATATATATATGGTCTCGTGTTCCGTGTTCCTACCTCCCACCCCCAATGGCATGGGTCCCCAGGTAGCAACCCCCTCCCTTCTATTTGCAAGCTATTGGCAGCATTTCTGAAGTCCAGCCTCGTATTTGCTAGGTTTTTGCGGCGATTCTGACTACCAGCCTCGCATTTACTAGGTACATGCTACCTTTTAGATGACCTACGTAGCACACATACTCCCTCAAAGTACCTACGTGCTACCTATAGTCATATTTACATGTGCTATGTATCTACTTCCTA